GGGAAAGAAAACACAAGCTCAGTGGACTCGAGAGTGGAGGAAAAACAGAGAGGTGGTTTTGGTGTGCCCTGGTAGTCTTTTTCCTTTCCCCACTTTTAAAAAAAAAAAAAAAAAAAAAAAAAAAAAAAGGATTGCGGTCCTGTGATTTATGTACCTTCCTATTCATCTTATAAAACAGCATTGATACAAGTTGTCTGAGTTTACACAGGCCCTCCCCTCACCTCTGTCTGGAGCTACAGCAGAAACAAATCACATCAGCCATTTACAGCATCACTCCAACAGAGTAAATACTATAATTAGGACACTGCTTTATCAAATTCACTGTGATTTGGAAGAAAAACTACAATTAGGCTTTTGTAACTGAAATGTCAAATAAAAATAAAACACCCTCCATTACAGACGATCAGAAAATTGTAAAACAGCTGTACGGAGGAACCGTCTGACAGATTGATTGTAACACCTGGTACTTTTGGCCTACTGCAATTGACTTACTACTCGATCTTTGTCCCGGCATACTAAACAGTAAAGGAACGCACAGTTATGCTGAAAACCAGCCTGACCAGGACCAGGCTAGTCTGGAAGGAGAGGTTTCCAGGGTAACGTAGGACTGACTTATCTAAAACTGGTTTTAATAGTAATCTTGTTTAAGTAATCCGACACACCAGGCCTTCTCATGTCAAAACCAGTGAGGAATAACATGCTAATCCAATCATTGATCATAATAACATGATTTATTTTTCCTTCAATGCTATTGGTTAATATAACTGGATGTTCAAAATATACTGCCTTCATGCACTACTCAAATGTTAAGCGTGGCTTTGGGATCATGCCACAGAGCACCATCTTTAAAACATGTCACTTTTGTCACCTCCCGTTGGACTCTCGTGGGCGGGGCGGGAGGTAATAATGGAATATGTGTTGCCATCGGTGCAGACTGAGGTGGTGCTGCCGCCTGCGTCTCCCATGCTGGGGAAGCAGCTGGGGTGCTCCGATGACTCACAGCGGTCCTCAGGCCTGCCGATGTGAAGACACACAGTGCCCTCGGCTGGTACGAAGCAGCAACAGACGATTTACTGGAAAAAAAACTGTCCAAAACTGTAAAAATAATAATAAAATAAAATAAAAAAAGGATGACTTCACGTTTCCTAACCTCTGCGTGCCGTTGGATTTTGTTTGTCTATTGTTTGTATATTGTTTGCCCGGAAACTGTGATCCGGGTTTGTTCCGGGGTTTCACCACATCCACACAAAACCACAAAAACAGAGAGACTCTCACGAGGAAACACTCCTGCAAAAAGCTCCCTCAAAAAGGAGATGAGTCAGCCATCATATCATAAAATTACCAATCCAAATGTCACTTTGTACTGGGTTTCAGTCTCCGGTTTTAGGGCCTCAGCCAGCTGGGTTTGGCTTGAACAGGACTGCCTACAGTGACTCACTTTGCCAATCTTGCGATGGTCTCTGTTCTTGGCCTCCTCTTGAAAACGTTCCCACTCCTTCAGCATCTTTGAGTCGGGGAAGGAAATCCCATAGATCCTCTGTAGAGTCTCCATGTCGGAGCGGCCCTCCCAGTAGGTGGAAGAGTTCTGATGGCAGAGAAATAGCAACATGATTATAGAGGAGCTACACACTGGGGAATCTACTCTGGGAGCAAATTTCTGAAATGTGAAAAGGACTTGTTAAATACAAAAATGTCAAAGTCAGAAATGACAACATTTGAAAATATTCATTATCCGGGAACAGGACTTTCCACATACCTTGTAGATCTTCATGGCTTTGATCTTGCCGGTATGCCTGACATGGGGACCTCTGCACAGGTCGATCAGGGGCCCACATCTAACCAGGATTCAGGAAATGACACAACCGTTAACTTCAAGACCCAAATAAGCATTAAAATAAAAAAGTATCAAATTAATATTTCTTCTTCCTTCTCATAAGCAACGTACCTGTAGACTGTAGTGGTGGGGGTGCTGACTTTCTCATTCAGAATGCGGCACTTGAACTTGTTGTACTGAAAGAAGCAAACATCTAGAGTTAGTTCGAAGATTTTCTTGTCTTTCATATATATATATATATATATATATATATTTTTTTTTTTACCAAATTCCATACATGCATATAATAATTACATGACTATGTAAGACTGAAGAAACCACGCTATGTGAGTTTATGCCTCGAGAACATTTTCTCTTTGTTTGTGAACCGGCTCGGTCACCTTGAACATCTTCAACAGGGTCTGCTTGCTGATTTCCAGCCTCTCAAAGGGCTGTTTTTCCTTCACCACGGCCTTACACAGAGTCTCCAGGTCCCCGAACTCGGTGCTGGACACCCCCCTGCAAACAGCACACAGGTTGAGTTAATACGAGTGCTCGCAGTTGGTGTTGCTCCGATGTGCCTGTAACTACTAAATGCTGTTCGACGTGTTTCAGCTTATTGTGGTTTTCAAGGAAAACACACACAATTTTTGGCTCAACAGAGCAAAACAGTCAATTAGTTTGAAAAGCAGTGACGTTCATGATTAGGATTGGACGTATTAAGAATGTATAAAATGTTTTTAGACCAGAATGCATGTCTGAACAGTGATAGTGAAAATACTTGCTCACTTCTGTCCATCCAGGAACATGTCGTAGTAGAAGCCATTCTCAAAGGGGGGTCCATAACACAAACAGCCGCCATAAAAGTGCTCCATTGCCTCCCCCAGGATGTGAGCGCTGGAGTGCCAATACACCTAGGACACAAGATGAAGATGTACTGATTGCCCAGGTTACCTAAAAAACACAACAAACTGGTAAGTCGAATAAAAGCAAGTACGCCGCAGGTCGGACATTTTTAACACATGGGACATTTAAGGTACAACTGATCGCAGATACCGCCACCAGCCATGCATTGATCCATTTTAAAACAGCAAATGTACTCACAGCCTGAGCATCCTCATCGTCAAAGCGCAAGATCTCAAGAGAGCAGTCCTGCTCGAGGGGTCTGTCCAGGTCCCAGAGCTCCCCGTTCACCCGAGAAATCACCGCGTTGTCGGCCAGGCCCTGGCTGAAAGATCAAGACAGACAGGTGGCCTCAGAAATGCCGCGTCATGAGTTGAGAACAACAATGGGGGTGCAGTCACACGTGGGAAAACAGGAGAGTCAAGTCTCCCTCTGAGGCGTCTGCTTGTGTCAGGCAATTTAACTGATCATTGTGGCAGCCATCGATTGACGCTGCAGTCAGTGGATGTGGCCGGGTGTTTCAGCACCACCTACCTGATGTCACAGGCCAACTGGTACGGCGTGGTGACCCACGCTTTGCCCGCCACCGTACGTCCGTCTGGCAGCTCCACGGCGACGGGCTTGCCGGCCGCAGCTCTCTTTGCCAGCAGGGCGTCGCTCTCCCTCTTCAGCTCCTCATAGAGGCTGAGGCGCTCTGCGACGTACCCGGGCAACGACTTCTGCTACAGAGTGGAAAAATATTACAGACAACAATCAAAACCCAAGATGTCGGTTCGCTCAGGACAAACTAAAAGCATTGACCAGAGATTTGCCCCGAGAGCCATCATGTTTCACGCCTCGTGTTTTAAAAGGCAAGAACTATGGTGAGAGTTGAAGTTGATGGACAGTGTTTTTCCTCATGTTGAATTAGTAATGCGAGGATGTCGGGCAGGATTGGAGTGATGTGACGCCATCTGTTAGTTTCATGCACAACTGTTTTTGTTTTTCTTGTCTTGTGTTACATCTGAATTTAGTTGTTCATCCCTGTGTTGCATAATAACAACAATTTAAAAAAAAGATCCTTGAAAAGATTCTTTGTTTTTGGTGATGGACTGAAGGAGTACAGGTTGTGTTCCTTCTGTGCTTCACCTCTTTCACGGCTCCGTTTCCTTGTCCCTTATCCTGCTTTTTCTCCTTCTTGTTCTTGTCCCCTGGTTTGGTGTCTGGGTTCGCCACCTGCACCTGTCCACAAAGGACCACAGAGACCAGTGAGTGTCCACATACAATAAGCTCTTATCACTAGTTCTGTCTGAGTCACATTATCAGCCTGTTACGTCAGTTAACATGTTCAGTATTGAAAGCGTGGCACACACTGTGGCATTGAGAGGGGCAGCTATTTCTGGAAATGAGGTGGTGTTGTTTGTCATTTGGCTTCTCTGGACTGAGGCCGAGCAGGAGCAGCACTGACGTTACAACTACTCACCCCCTCATCACATTACACATTTTAAACTGGGACAATATGCGCCGTCACAGTCTTTATTACCTTTTTATCAGCTCGGTTGTTTGTCTGCTGTTCACTGCTGGTGTTTTTCTCCGGAGCTTTGCCACACTTCACTTGTTGTTTCTTGCCCTGCGCCTCCTCCAGCTCCAGCTCCGCCTGCAGACCCCTCCGGAGGTGCACCAGCCGATACCGGAGCTTCTCGTTCTCGGTCCGCAGGCTCTCCAGCTCTGGGGAGACCCCCGAGGCAACACCGACGGCATCCACACCGCGGCTCAATCCATCGCGGAAGGTGTTGATTTCCTTGGAGAGGAGCCGAATTTGCTCCTCCTGGGCGGTCAAGCGTGCGGCGAAGCACTCCGCCATCTTTAAATGACGACCCTCAGTGACACCCTCACTTCCGGTGAGGTTTTTTGAAAATAAAACCGCTAATGTTATATATATCGTTATAGTATGTATATACGGGTATCCCCTGTCACACAAATTGTGATACATATATACACACACACACACACACATATATATATATATTAGTTTAAAAATATAACTAAAGCAAATGACAATTACCACTTTTGTGGACGAAAGGAGAAATATAACGCTAGCTGCTTGACAAAACATTTGGTTAAAATTATGAATTATTACTAAATTATCAAACACCCAATATTCAAGGTAGTTACATTTGAGGTCTGCTTTTGTGGTTTATTTTATTTATACATCAAACCTGCTGAATAGTGGTAACGCTAGATATCCTGTAGTAATGAAGTGCCGACGCTAGGAGGCAGTAACGTATTTCTTCATACACGTTAATGTCAGCTGACCACTGCAGTACAGCAACGTAAACACTGACTTCCCATTCTTGTGATGTGGAGCTGTTAGCCTACAGGTACGTGTCAGCTATTTGCATGTCTGTTTTAAAAACCTACTTCACTGTTATTTTTGGCGAACGGTTTTACTGCTGTGCAGTAGTTGTACAACGTCAGCTGCATACTTGCTAACTGTTCATTGCCAGCACAGAGATTGCTACGTTAGCTAGCTCCCAAACGGGTGCACAACAAATCCAGTTCACTAACCTGGCTCTTTGCTGTTTCCTTACTCATTAGGAAGACTCATGTATTCAAGGATACGGCTTAAGACATTTAACACGCCTGTCTGAAATTCGGCGTGTATTCAGAACAAGTGGCGACAGTAACCAGTAAAACAATTCAGTGAACTTTGAACTTGTTCATCAGACTAAATGGTACCCCTTACATCGGAAATAAATGCTAACGTTACAGTTATCTCTGTAGATGATTGACAAACACATTGGTGAAATGATTAACTTATATTAAAATTGGAATGGTGTCAGATAAACGTTCAGGTCCATGTCCTATAAAGCATCCCCTCCTTGTCCCAATAGGTCAAAGGTTATTATCCCTATTCTGCAGCTGACCGTGACCTCTGACCACCGTGTAGAAGGGTGAAGATCAGTCCGTTCGTTCGATGTAAATAGCACATTGATCTTCCATTCCAGGCCAGACTGATTGGGGAATTTGATGTCGCTGTCGTCAGCATGGCCTCCACCTCCAGCTTTGCTCCTCCAAAACTGTCCGACTTCATCCTCACGGAGCGGCTGGGCAGTGGTACCTATGCTACAGTCTACAAGGCCTACAGAAAGGTGAGTCAGGGGAAACAGCACATATATGTCAAAAAGTAGTCAAGTAATTTACTTTTTGTCTTCACTGTTTTAAAGCATCACTACACTGACCTTGACCTCACCATAGATGTGGTGACGATCGGGCCATTTATTTGGTCTAAATAGCATATTGATCTTGCAATCTGGTCCCAAAAAAAATAGAAAAATCTCATTTCATTGACTGTCAACACTGATATTATAAGGCCAGTGTGGTGGTTGTTGTTAAAAACAATATTGAAAGCTGAAGATTCATTCCCATCTGTGACGTTGCAGGGGGACAGTCGAGAGGTGGTGGCGGTGAAGGTGGTTGGGAAGAAGACTCTGAACAGGGCGTCTACTGAAAACCTGCTCACAGAGATTGAAATGCTCAAGACGATGAGCCACCCTCATATAGTCCAGCTGAAAGACTTTCAGGTCAGCTCATTTGTGTCTTTTAGATGTGTTGCAGCTTGTAGAAGGGAATAAAAAAAAAACGAAGTCCATTCAGAGCAAATAAAACTAGTCCTTGCATATTTAAAAAAATGATGAGCATCTATCCATGCAAGCTACATGTTGATTTAGGAGGGCCATGATGTCATTCGAAGGCGCAGCAAGGAAACCACCACTCTCCCAGTAGAGATGGTTTCAACTTCTGTGGTCAAAAAGTATACATGCATTCTTTCATCAGTGGGATGCTGAGAATATTTATCTGATCCTGGAGTGGTGCTCTGGTGGAGATCTATCCTGCTTCATACGCAGCCGCAGGATTATACCTGAGAGGGTGGTCCGGCGCTTCCTGCAACAGATTGGTGAGTCATACATTTTTTTTTTTAACAAAATCACCATACCAGATTTGGTTCCATGTCAACAGAGCCTTTTCGTACCAGTTATTTTAATCTACTGCGTTTTGAAAGCCATGTATACGTGTAAATTGTTTGAAGAAATCAATAGTAACTTACTCTATCAATAGCATTCAATTTATTCTTATTCGATACAAGTTTGTGCCCAGTGCAAACTTTAGGACTGTGTGTGTGGGCTCATTGTGTGTAGTGTGTGTCTCTCTGCACAAACAGCCTGTGCCCTCCAGTTTCTTCATGAGCGAAACATCTCACACCTGGACTTGAAACCACAGAACATTCTGCTCAGCGGCTCCGTCCTAAAACTAGCAGGTGATCTCCTGCCCACTCACACGAACAATCAAGTAAACACATATTGATTTGCAGTGGATTGAGATGATTTCAGCAAGAAACGAACACTATTATGCTGTTCTGCTTGCAGAGCAAGAAAGTCAACTTTCTTTTTGTGTATTTAGCTTATTAAACTCTACTTAAACTTTTGTGCGTTTTGCATTATAAACACGTCAGCTTTAGGAGGGGCTTGCACCCACTGATACCCGTCACATTTGTTCCCAGATTTCGGTTTCGCCCAGTACATGTCACCATGGGATGAGCAGAGTGTCCTGAGAGGCTCTCCTCTTTACATGGCTCCCGAGATGGTGTGCCGACGCCAGTACGACTCCAGGGTGGACCTCTGGTCAGTCGGAGTCATTCTCTATGGTGAGTACTTTGTGGTCACCCTTTCATCTCTTTTAAATGTGTAATAAACCTCAACATGAATGACACACCGCTTCAGATAATCTTTATTTGTAGTGCTGCGTGCACTCTGTTTTTTAAAAAATTATTATTATTATTACTACAACAGTAGGTGCATCAGCTTCCAGATTATCCTTTTGGAATAGTCTACTCAACATTGCTTGTGTTCATATAGAGGCACTGTTTGGGCGAGCACCATTTGCATCAAGGTCATACGCCGAATTGGTGGAGAAGATCCGGAGCAACCAACCCATCGAGGTAAGTTTTTGAGCAATGATTGAGCTTCTCATCAGTGAATTGCTTGAAACAGTCAGCAATCCTGCTTAAATATATGTGGGGAGAAAAAAAAGACTTTATAATCTGAATTTGACATGTGATGATGGAGGGTAGATCATTATTGCCTGTATAAGGTAGGGCCTCTAGCTGGTACGCACATTCAAGGGATAGTTAGTGTTTTCTTTGTTATTTCTTTCTTAGTTCTTATTCTGAGTTATGGTACGCATGGCGATATAGTTTGTTTGCTTGCTGTATAGAAGGAAAAAAATCGATTCATCCAATCCCTCACTCAATAAATGATCAAATGGCTCTTGGACCCTCGTGTTTAAAGGGATATTTACCGACAGTAGATGGTGTTCGGCACGCCACCAGTTTGGAGAAACAGACAGGAGTATAGACACCTAAAAGAAATGCCCAACTAAAACACACACACACACACACACACACGCACAACCTCAGCTTAAGTGTACATTATATTTAGAATACATCCACCACTTTCCATTCATTTTTGACGGAACGGTGAAAGTGAATCTTATCTATGCTGTCTTCAAAGCCACCAGACTGCATCAACAAAGACAGTAAAGATCGGTTTCACTTCAAGCTCAGTTTCCTGTCGGAAAACATTCTAATTATCGGGTAATGAACTTAAAAGCTTGAATTTGATTCTGATGGTCCCATACGGACACGTGACATTAGAACTCATCCTAAGGGTTGAGGAGCTGCTGTGAAGCGCCTGGAGAGCAACTTGTCCCCAGTGTCGCTCAACGACACGTCAACATGCTGACATGAGTAGCCGGGGATCGCACCGCCAACGTTGTGGTTAAATGACGACACCCAGCTCTGTCCACTGAGCCACAGCCGCCCCACTTAACCTGATATTGATTTGTTTTAGGTGTCTAATATACATTTTGCTGCTGCCCCCGTCCACAGCAGTGCTTTGCTTTGCTTTCGCGCTGGTACTCCTGTCTGTTTCTCCAAACTGGGGGCGTGCCGACCGCCATCTACTTTTAATAAAACACTGACTATGGATCAGAACCTCATGCAACCCCACTTCAAAACACTCAAACTGTCTCTTTAAACACAAAGATCAAGAAGTGCCATTTGACCATTTATTGAATTTGGGGAATGGTTGAATTTATTTCCCTGTACAATAAACAAACAAATCATTATATTGACACTCGTACTGTAAGAATAGTAAACAAAAAGTACAAAAGTTAGCTTACAATGTCAATGCATCCTCTTTTAAAGAGGAGTCCTTTAAGCCTTCTTATTTATAGAGAACATGAGTAAATAATGGTGAACAAATATACGGCCTCTCAGTTTAAACAAGTTTGCCTCAACTTCTGGTTTTGAATTTATCTCACAGTTTAGTAGATCACATGGTTCCAAATCAAAATCTGTCAGGAAGTCGGATGCATATTAAATTAGGGTGACAACTCAAAGGATGTAGCCAATACAAGTCATCTAAAACAAATCGGAAGGATCATTTCAAACTAACTCACCGGTGCGGCGGCCTTCTAGAATAACGGATATCTGGAAAGCATAGGTGCTTCGCTTTTTAGTAAAAAGACTAGATGTCAGTGTACCATTTCATCAAAACTGCTGTGTTTCATTTAGTGATTGCTTCAGTTACAGTAACACTGTTGGGGATGTAAACCAGCCTTTTTTTAAGGAAATAAAATCATCCAAATATACATACACGTGGGAATAAGATAGCTTAAAAGTAGCTTTGAAGTAGTCTTTCAATGGCACCTCTGTTAGCAGATTTATCTTTAATTACATTTTTAATGCTTACACGTTTATAAAAACACATTCCCCCTAAATTATTTAGTTGTTGTTTTTTTCTCACTGTATTTGTGAAGTTTCAGCATTAAACCACTAGATGGCAGACTTCCACACTATCCCCTTATTCCACTTCAGAAGGTGCTCAGCGGAAACAAGGACTCATTGCTCATCTCCAGTCTCCTATCTAGAATGTAAAGAAACAATCTGGGATTCAAATAAATTTTCATCCGTTTGTAAACGGGCCTATACAATGTTTTCAATTGTGACGCGTTAAGAGTCAAAAACGTTTCATCTAGAAGTTGAATTAATGACAGATGCGTAAACAGAGCTGTAATAAATATGGTTTAAAAATGCTAAATTGTTGGAGTTCGACACGTGGACTTGAAAAATAACCAGTTGCTGACAATTAAGAGTCGTAGTCGTGTCTCCGTCCTGATTTGCCCCGCTGCATTGGCAAACCAAATGTCAATCGCCATAGCGACGGTGTCGGAGAGCTGCACTTTTATTGATGGAGGGCTTAAGAGGACACTTGAATTCTCGTGTCAAACATCGAGCTAAAGGGATGGCATTAGCACACGGCCCATTACCAGGGGATTCACAAGTGGCGACGCGAGACTATAAAAGGTCTCTGGCAGCGATCTGCTGTGCGACCTGCCCCCCCTCCCCCGGATTGTCCTGTGGATGGCGCGCAGCATAATAAGGTCATGTTTTGTCCATCAGCTCCCTCCCAGGGCCAGGGTATCCAAGGACTGCAGAGACCTTCTGCTGCGGCTGCTGGAGAGAAACCCAGATGCCCGGATCACCTTCGCCGAGTTCTTCGCCCACCCTTTCGTGGACATGGAGCACATGCCGAGCGCAGAGAGCCTAGTGAAAGCGGTGAGAGAGAGAGATAGAGCACGCGTGACCCTGCAGGCGTGCATGAGCAATAGGGGGGGAGTTTTCCGGTTTTGCATTCGCTGATGCCAGTTTCCTGTTTTACTTCCTTTTCAGAAAGAGCTGGTCCTGCAGGCCGTCCAGAAGGACCAGCAGGGAGAGAGGTCCGCCGCGCTGTCTCTTTACTGCAGTGCCCTTGAGCACTTTGTCCCCTCCATTCACTGTAAGCACAGCAACGGCTACTCTCATATCCTGTCGTGGCTTAAGCCCTTCAACAATGCAACCGCCTTTTGTTCCAGCGCAATAAACTGGCAGAGCATAATGCGCTAAATGTAAAACCCAAACATCTCTTCTCTCCCCCACAGACGAGACGGACCGACAACGTAAAGACGCCATCAGGCAGAAGGTAGGCCTGAAAACACTCCCCGCATTCACATTTGGATTACGCTCCATTTTCAATTGGTCCTTTTTTCTTTTCTTTTTCTTCTTCCCCACACACTGGTGGACTTTCACTTGGAATGAATTGTCGTCTCTGAATACCATACGGTGTGGCTGGAGAGCATATGGCGTGGTTGACATGATTAAGTTGTGAGAGGACTTCCCGCAGGTCCGCCAGTATGTGTCCAGAGCCGAGGAGCTGAAGGCCCTGGTGGCCTCGGACAACAGGTTGAGCTTTGAGGAGGCCCGCACCTCCAGGGATGTCCTCCGAGGTAAAGAGCGCATCTCAGTGCAGAGGCCGGGGGCCACTGTATGAGAGGACAACCTGAGTAATGCAATGTGTGTGTTTTTGTACTTTGGTTTTAATCCTACAATGGGGGTTTGGTTATTTTTCCCCCTAATGTTTAATTATTTTTCTGGTGAGTCCGTACATCTTGAAATTATGCTATTTTAGTAATTGAATTAAACTGCTGTGTAGCTAAGATGTTTTCCATAAAAATCTAAGTATCTCTAGTCCACAATACTGGAGTGTTGCATATTCTCTAGCAGAATGCATTGATCGACGTACAGTAGGACTCAAAGTAGTATTTCCTGTTTTCTCCACTCACTCCAGAAATGTCTCGAGACCAACCACGGCTGCTGGCTGCTCTGGAGGTGGCCTCCGCTGCCATTGCTAAGGTTAGAAGGGGGGGGGGGGGGGGGGGGGTGGGGACTCCCCGAAATACTAATTTAAATCCTACTGGACGTC